ATGTGAAGTTTCATTACTTCGTGTAAACCTTGGTTTGTAATTCAGGTTGTGTGTGTGTTACTGGATCGTGTTTTCAGTAAGTTCTCAGTCGGGTCTGCACTCCCTGCGTTTTGTGTGATAGTCGAGGGTGACGTCCACGGCGTACGTAGAGGCTTCGTTCCGAAGTGAGAAGTCCAGTCCGGGTACCCCCGCTAGTTCCTGGCGGAAGGGCAGTAAAAGCCGGAGTGGGAGGCACTTCCTGCAGAACCTCTGAGTGAACTTGCGAGACACTTTCCTCCTGAAATCCGAAGCGGAGGTCCTGACCGACCTCCGAGTTGTGCTTTTTGCCAGTTTCAGGTGTGTGTGTGTGTGTTGAGTGACCAAGCTGTACCGTGCATCCTCCGAGCATCCTCCGAGTTGAGATCCTCCTCCGAGTCGAGCCTCCGAGTCGAGCACTGCAGTATTTCTGGGAGTGACAGTCGCCTAGAATTCAAACTCTACCAAAAGTCTGTTAAATGTGACACTTTTACTCTGTGTGTTGCCTCTGTCCCTGTGGGTTCGATCTTTTTACCACCATACTGCAGTTTTAGCCTTTGGTGGGTTATTACACTTCTTGTCGGGTGCGCGCGACACTATGGCGCACTTAGAGTCGGAAGTCACTACAGCGCTCCGACGCCTGGGGTTGCGCAGCCGGTCGGAAGACTGGCAAGGTAGAGACAGCGAGCGGAGCAGTCCGGCGCGCAGGAGGCGCAGCACCGGATCAGCCGAGTGCAGTAGAATAGTTTGGTTTTGCGCAGATGCTGCGAGTAGTAGATAGGATAGCGTAGTGCTAGTTAGGATCTTTGAGGGTATAAAGTAGATCAAGGCGTTTTGCCTTGGGACTCTTCCAGTTTCGGAAGTGCAGATCAGGAACTCACTTTCTTGGCGTGTTTGTGCATTTTGGTCCTGGCACCACGTAGAGAAGCTGCAGCATAGCGAAGTTACCGTATGTTGTAGTTGAAGGCCTTCGGCTGAATGTTCAGAGCTAGCACCCGGTTAGAGACTTGAGTAGTGCAGATCTGCACCTGCGGGTGATTTCTGATGCTCAGAGCCGGCTGCGAGTTAGAGACTTGAACAGTTCCCCCTTACTCCTTCGAGTGACATATCCTGATTGTACTCCTACGGGAAGTTTCCCCTGAATGCCAAAGTGAAGTTTTATTACTTCGTGTAAGCCTTGGTTTGCAATTCAGGTTGTGTGTGTGTTACTGGATCGTGTCTCAGTTAAGTTCTCAGTCGGGTCTGCACTCCCTGCGTTTGGTGTGAGAGTCGAGGGTGACGTCCACGGCGTATGAAGAGGCTTCGTTCCGAAGTGGGAAGTCCAGTCCGGGTACCCTACGCTAGTTCCTGGCGGAAGGGCAGTAAAAGCCGGAGTGGGACGCACTACCTGCAGAACCTCTGAGTGAACTTTTGAGACACTTTCCTCCTGAAATCCGAACCGGAGGTCCTGACCGACCTCCGAGTTGTGCTTTTTGCCAGTTTCAGGTGTGTGTGTGTGTGTGTGTGTTGAGTGACCACGCTGTACCGTGCATCCTCCGAGCATCCTCCGAGTCGAGATCCTCCTCCGAGTCGAACCTCCGAGTCGAGCACTGCAGTATTTCTGGGAGTGACAGTCGCCTAGAATTCAAACTCTACAAAAGTCTGTTAAACGTGACACTTTTACTCTGTGTGTTGCCTCTGTCCCTCTGGGTTCGATCTTTTTACCACCATACTGCAGTTTTAGCCTTTGGTGGGTTATTACAATGCAGTAAGAATGGGGAAGGGGAATAATATCAATATTGGCCTACTCACAGAAGTGAGCGTTGTCGTGCGTTATAATGTGCCCGATTATATATTTGCAATCTCAAAGGTTGTCACAACACCTACACTATTAACCTGAGGAGGAAAAGTTTTTCACCGATTTTGTTAAAGTCAACGAATTTAACGACATCATGATATTGTTGTTAGACATCTACAACTTGCAGATGGTTTATATATGACCTTGAAAGAGAAGACGACCTACAAATCTATGGTGCTAAAAATTAGTGGCCTGCAGTTTCAGCATTCATCTGAAAGTACACGTCTTAACATGAAGCATCAAATTGCAGTTAAAGCTCGAAGTGAAAATAGGTGCTGGTCCAAGTAGAAAGACAGTTGCGGCAAAATATGCGGTGGAACTTCAAGCTGCATGACTTATTCTTGACAGCCAAGTGCGCATGAGCATTGCCACCTTCCAAGTATTACTGTAGTCCGACGGCGTTGCTAGAATGAATGTTTGTAGAAGAATCTGTCATGCCCCTGAAAGCAGTATAGTGCTTTAGTTAATAAAATGCAGTTGCTCATTTCACTTGTTTTAATGTCTTATTATGACAGGCCAATGAACGAAGACAAAAATATCGTAATGGAAGACTTGTCTTGCAACCTTGTGCTTACGGAGAGTAGCGGAGGAGAGGTCATAGGCTTGAATCAAACTATGGGTGAAGCTGAAGAATTACAAGGAGAAGATCTTCCCGAAATCCCTTCTTGCGTAGTCAGTACTGATATTAGTGGACAGAATGGCTGGCAATATTTGTGGACGTAGAGGTACGAATTCACGAAGCTGCAGTGAGATTAAAGTTCTCAGAATACATCATTATATTCTTGAAATATAATCCTTGCCACGTGAAGCGAAGAACTAAGTCTTTGCTGTCCATGTTTCCCACTCTTATCAATGCTTTTTCATGGCATTTTTTTCTTCATTCGTTTGATTCTACAGCAATGAACGTTCCCAAGGGGACCCATTCTTTCCTGTACTATTTAACTTTCTCCAAAGACTGATACAATAATATCATCTCCGATACTTCCAAATCTTTTTCTACCGGTAACAATACTCCAGTAGAAGAGTCCCACATATGACTTAATATGAGCAAACGGGTGTTAATTGTGGTACTGTGAAAGAAATTTCACAAAAACCTTGGACCTTGTTGGAAGTAGATCCTGTAAAATTTTACACGATCTACACGTGTCCAACAAGTACTACCCCTCGGAATACACTTTACGTAAGAAACTTGGGGAAGAAACACTTGTTTCTGTATTCGTACCTGAGACTTTCCTTTATCTTTAAGAAATCTCAACCTTTATACCTGCACCAACCATTAACAAAGTAAGGTGGGTCTTTCCATTTTCAATGACTGTTATGGATGAACAGGATTATAAATTCTTAGATGAAAGATGCATCATGAATGTTAACGAACAAATCTGGATCTTCACTCGTCCTACAGCCAGTAAGGATCACCAACAATGTTTTGGGTTGATAAAGCTTAACATTGTCAGGTTCTTTGATCTTTATTTAACATTTTCGAGATATTTTAGGACAATCGAATTGGCTATCACATGAGGTTGAAGATTTCTATTCATATCGAAAACAAGGTTGCAAACACTGCTCAAGTTTGAGTACATCGCATGGGCAATATAGATAACGATGTCTTAATCCAAAGAAAGCATGTTTTTGCTTCTTTCTAGTTGGATGAAAGAACATTTCAACTTCTCTGTAAAGTAACCGAGTTAATCATGCAAATATGCAGCGAGAACTGTTTAGTACGAAAACTGTCATTTAATCTTCAAAACGTCATTGGCGTTTCGCTTTATTAAGACTGTGATAGAGTATTATTAAAACTGTGATAGAGTAAACTTTCCTCACCCAGTATTCCGGACCTACCAACTACTCATATGCTACGGCGAAGAGAAGATATTTTGCTTCGACAACCTCTGTTGTTGAAAGCAAACCGAATTTTAAATACATATGATTCTCTAATAATCTAGATTGTACACCCTTGTCATACTACAACTCGCCTCGAAATATTGAGCTAATATTTCGAGTCAATAAACTATTGAGGCATTTGTCCAACTACATATCGCGTCCAACTACAATATAAAACTAGAGTACACGAAGTGTGGACTTTAGTTCCATTACCATTGTTACTTCTCCTCACAAAGCTCCGGAGTGCATTGTGGTGCAAGCTTCAAACCGCCAATCACGAGCTGTTTCAAATGCTTCAATTACTGCAAGCCAACTCCAAGGGGAGAGACTAGACATTGTGAGGCTATTCTATTTGGATCTGAATACCTGAAAAGACGCCAGGCAATAAACATCAGTGCACTATTACTAATTTGAAGAAATAAATGGTCGGATTAGGAAAGGGTGTAAGAGTATCTACCTCTGATCATCGATCGATGCTGACAATGTGCCAGCCATATGGGCGAATCATAAAAGAAAAATAAATTCTCGACTCCGGCATCCATCTATCTGCATACCCAGCAACAAGCTTGTTGCTTTCTTAAATCAACTTAGAGCAGAGCAGTAAAGTCTCCTGGCTATCACAGTTCTGCACATCACACGATGAGCATTAGTACAAAGAGATAGCTCCAAAATCACAAGAAACGTACGCAGTATGACACTTTAATCATAAACAGCCCCATGAGAACAAATGTATATTGAGATCGAGAGAGAGGAGAGACCATTACCGAATCGTACTTCTCCACTCGCCCCATGCAAAACATTCGCCGCCGACTAGCGTTCGCTGCTCAAGCATCCGCTCCGAGAAACGTAAACTGAAAGCAATACACAATTACTTTCGCAGTGTCGTCCTCTATGTCAAAATGGAAGAAGGGAAGAGAGAAAATTCGCTCCGAGAAACATTATCTGAAGCCAATGCACGATCGCCGTCCCAGCCTTGTTCTCGATGCGAAAATGTAAGAAAGGAAACGAGTGCGTTGCAATTTTGTGGCTGCGCTGTAGCGGGTTGCGTGCACGGTAACGAGGACGTAACGGCACTGGGCTTGGAGCTGTTACAGCGGGCTGGGAGCTGTTGGAGCTGTTGGGGAAACGTTACAGGCTTTGGAATTCAAAATCCAGGAGAGCCGATGTGGAACGTACGATGTTAGCTCCCACAACATATATGGAGCCGTCCCTGACACTCCATCTTTCATCACAGCGTCCTTTCATTTTACAAATGGTACAGAAGAAAACTCGTCATCGAAGGTGCTCAATCCCTCTTCCCCAGCAATCTGCGTTTCCTGGAGGGCGGAGAATCCTCAGGCTCCTCCTCTGAGTTCAGTCGCGTGATGTCTTCTTCTTGCTCGTCTTGTGCCTCACTATCTTGTTGGTTGTCTGGTGACTTGTCTTGCATCCTTGTGCTAATGGAGCGTAGCGGAGGAGAGGTCATACGCTTGAATCAAACTATGGGTGAAGCTGAAGAATTACAAGGAGAATATCTTCCCGAACTCTCTTCTTTCGTAGTCAGTACTGATATAAGTGCACAAAGGTCTTGAATGGAGTCCAGAATATGTTGCTGGCAAACGTATCCAGGATAAGACTTGCATGATCCTGGATGTGACATGGAATGTTCTACATCACCAACGCTTGAAATCTTATTCCAGGGCTTCTTCGTCTTTAAGCATTACAGACCAATATGCATTGTAAACAATTTGCTATTTGATCAAGAGTGACTTTGAACGCGTGGCTTGCACTACCGGAGACATGAGCAAGCCACTGATTTTTGGAAGTTATAAACACCTAGCTGAAGTACGTGTTTTTTTTCTTTGCGGCTTATTCTATTGCAGCGAGGAATTCGAATGCACTGGAATGGCTGGCTAGTAAAAATATAGCAGATGAAGCTGCCAGGGTATTGCGATGCGTCTGTTAAAAGTATCGTGCATCCTACATCATGAAACGGGGAGATATAGCATTCTTCTAGCCCATGTATGTACTGGGCTCTACAATCTTCTCAAATCTCTTCAATTCCGGATGAACTTCTGATCAAGTGTGGATTCCGGATATTGACAGTGGTAATTCTTCGTCCATATCACTTCTAGTTGAATATTACACGCGTGTCTTTAATACGGGTCATTTTATCAGTTCGGGTCATCTTCTACGGTAGCTCGGGAAGTGATACTTTGGTTTCAGCGGCCGTGGAGCAGTATTAAAATGTGTAGACAGTACTTGTAAACTAGGTGGGAGAATTCGGACTGGCCAGATGGCAGCCAAATGCGAGCACAGCAGTTGAAACGATTGTGATTAGTACTCACGGGTGAGTGGTTCGGCTTGAATTGAAAGTCGTCAGCAACATATTGAACTGATTGAGTATGCTTTCTACGGACCTTTCCATGCGTCGGTGACTGGATGTACTGAAGTACTAGACCAGTCTCAAGCTTCTAAGGTTTGGGAACTGATAGTGCATATTAAGTTCAGGTCAAACGAACTAAATTAACCTCAGGTACCATCTTCAGCGACCGCAAACACATCACCATTTATGCATCGTTGCGAGCATCAGGAGCTTTGCGAAGAAATCGTCGCATAATTTCCTCATCTATTTCATTTTGCAACTTAGGTGTCACAAAAATCTAACAATGCCCTCGAAGTTCAAGCCATCGGTTAACGCTGTAAGCAGGTGTTCCGTATCCTGGAGGGAGGGTTCCCCAGCTCCAACAGCAGGAGTTTTGAGAAAATCGTCACTGATGCTTCCAGTCATGCGAGTTCCAGCAGAGGGTTGAGCCAAATGGAATCACTAGACTCACGCCCTGTCGTTGCCAGATCTACTGAGCTCATAAGCTACTCGTTCTTCAATTGGAGCTACGAAGAAGAGCGAGAGCAGATCCTTGCTCACTGTGAACCATTGTTCATAGACTCACGTCCCATTAAAGGCAGCAGAGACGAAAAAATGGAAGATAGTCAAGATCCTCGCTTTTTCCAAACCTTTCTGACAGTGACATGTTGTTGACATGTCTGGGTACATAGTTCCCTCCGGATTTTTGCTGTAGTGTCCTCTGAAGTAGCGAAGTTTTGTGAAGAATGGTATCCTCGCGAAACCAGAATAATTATCTTGACGGAAGAAACGGGCTGGACTAGCAGCAATACACGAAGAACGGATGAGGATCGTTTCATTCAAAACTGGACATGAGAAGCCCACTGTAGCCCACTATTTGAATGTAATATTTGGATTCAAAGTTGTGACACTTCCAGAAAATTCTTTTTGGGATCTTGTGATAGTGGTTTCATCCACATGTAACCCTCAGTCCACTTCATAAGAATCAACACACGATCTGCTCACAGAGATATAAGACCGTCTCCAACTGAGGCCATGACAATATGCAGCGATCATGCAGATTGCTAAAGATTGTATCTTCACATGTACGCGTTTTTCAATTGTTTTTATAAACAGCCAAGTCAAGTTTGTTCCAAGAGCAGCATCGTGGTTGGCTTGTTTATTTTTTGTTATCAGTTGCTGTGATATTTAGATAACCGGTTTTCTAAATGGAACGATACACATTGGACACTATGCTCGGAAAAAGTGTTCTATGAGAAAACGAAAATCAGGTATTTTTGTAAAGCGGCAATTGAAACGCAAGAGAAAGACCGTGGCCAACGACACAAAATACAGGCAATTGAAGTTCAGCCCAAGGGCCGAGAACTTGAAGACTTCTAATCTCTTTTGTATTTGAGTTGAGCCTCCTCAACCCCAACCCCAACCCAGTCTTAAGATTGGTATTTGTGGTTGTGTTTAGCAATTTTACTGGGAGGGGGAAATACTTGATCGTACACAGTTGGTGCTCTTGGGCGCGTGCTGACTATCCAAACAAGAGTGATGGCCTGATGGAAGAAAAATTATTACAAAGCCCGAATGGTCGCCCATGAGTCAATTAAGCAAGGATTTTGACGTCATGATGTATTTTCGAGAATTTTCCGTCTTCATGAGAACCGAGTCCAACTTTACAGACCACGATTCAATTGATTCAGTCTGATTATCTCCATTCGTTTTCTCCACCATCTGATTGAGTCTCTTGAGAATTATTTTCAGAGTTAGAACGCTGCCGCTTTTCTTCTGCTGCCTCCATAAAGTTGATTCTTGTAAGTCTCTGAGTATCTTTCCATTTCCAGCAGCATGAGTACAGGGACTACCGGGGGTCAGTGATGATCACTCCCTGGATATGGTTTTTCCCAATCAAGAATATGAGTAGTGATGCAGAGGCGTCTCCAGGTTGTGCTCCGCCCATGCTATTTCTGACAGGTACAGAATCAGCTGAACTGAAGGTCCTGTCGATCAAGTCATCAAGGTCGCCGTGTCCTAGGATGATTTGCAGTTATCGGAAGCAGTCTTCGTACGTTGATTGATATTTAGTCCCCTCGTGTTACATCTGCTTCGATCAGTCATCACATGAAAAATTCCAAATCAAGGAAAAGCAGCGATCAGAGGCAGCTGATGGTCAAAGTCATGGTGCTGAAGCAGTCGAGGGGTGGCGGCGGGTCGCAGAGCTTGGTGGTAGTGGTCGATGCGACGAGGGAACTGTCTCTGAGTGCTTTGCAACGGGCAATTACCAACGCTGTGTGCCGGAGATGGGATCCCGACAATTGGTATTCCATCAGGTTCATGATCCCAGTGCATAACCTTTCAGGATGGCTAATCACGCGGGCATGTAACAACTCTGCGAGGATATAACATTCTCCATCATTTGTTTGCACACTAATCCATGTCTTCGAATCAGATGCATCGGGGTTGGCTTCCCGGCTCCAGATGTGGCAGTATGGAGACGATGCTGGTTATGATGGCCTTTCGGTGCTAGTTCTCAGATTGTACTTTGCTGCAAAGTTTGTCATCTGACAGACTCTTTCGGTAAAATTGTATTATTATTGGTGTCATTTCTAATCTGATTGTGTGTATCAGACTTTGCAGAGTGAGATGTTTCAGTGATGTTGGTTGGCTGGTGACTGATCTCCTTGTTCTCGGACCTTTCATTTGTTTTCACGTTGGGCAGTTTCCAGTACTGTAGTTTGTTATCATCATCAATTGCAAGCATAATTTTTTTTCTAGAGAATTTGAAATATGACGTCTGAAAGTTAACAACTTGGAGCTTTGGAACTTTGAACAGACGTAGTTATCGTAATGTTGACTAGACTAATGTTGACTTCTGTGCACACTCCCAGAGACCACTCTACATGTACATTGTTAGCTATGCTTACGCGTTGGATCAAGATTCACTAGTATTCCGTTATGCTTTCTCTCAAAATTTTTAAGTAATGCATTGCAGTGTTAAGTGAAAACAGGAGGATGTTTTCTAAATGTACCATACACGGATTTTAGTGTATTTGGTACCTTTCGATGCATACGTTGAAGTTTATCAAGGAATAACGCAATCCGGAGCCTATATAGATATTGGAAGTACTTCAATCTTCTGATTTCTTACCTAACCTTTAAGATGTTCGACAATGGACAAGACTGAGCCACTGACGGGTGCCATACAATATAGAGTTTAGCCTGTAAGTATGGGTACAAAATCATACAACTCCGTAAGAGCTTTTTAGTTTTATTATTTGGAGACGTCTTTAACTAACACCATCACTTGAACTGAACTGCCACACTCTGGACCGTGTGTTTCACGTTGCATAGTGCATAGCGGATCAGGACATGAGAGATGGATGCAATACAATTGGTGATTGGGACGAGCTGAAGAGTGACTAGCCCTTGCGAGCTTGAATCACTGGAATAAACAGTTTTACCGACCCAGGTTCCACTTCAGATTGTGTTGTGCCGGCAACGGTCAGGAAGAAAGTAGGAAGATGCTGCTGGGCTGCGTGGGGAGAGAACAGCAATCGCGGGGAGAGATCAGTAAAACCATTTTGATCTCAAAAGAGTTCAAATTTTAGAGCTATATTCGCATCAAATGATTGGATTGTCGCTGAGCCCGCTTGAGATGCCGAGGTTGCTAAGGTGAAAGTGAACTGCCTTTTTGTTCATATTCTCTACAGCCACAATTATCGCCGCAATTATCTTTTCTGTCGTATTTGGTCGGATGAATCTATTAAACCTAGAATTTGGTCCCAAGACGAATAATGACAAATTTTCCTAGAATTATCTCCACCTTTTGTCGATTCTCTAATTGCTGATCAGGCAGCCTAAGTTAATGTGGAGAAAAGCGATACTTTGACTTTGTCCTACTACGCATATCTCACAAACTTAAGACTTGTTCAAAACCTTAGCACTTCCCAGCTTTGACTCGACAGTGATGAAAATTTGTGGAAGTAGTGGAGGCCTAAAATCGTCTCCGCGCAGGTGGTATATATTTACGGTTCAAGTCTAACGACTCTTGATTTCGAGATGATGTCTCCAACGTCTGGATGAAGTCATAATGGGGACGGGGAATAACATCAAAATTGGCCAACTCACAGAAGTGAGCGTTGTCGTGCGTTATAATGTGCCTATTTTGATTATATATTTGCAATCTCAAAGGTTATCACAACACCGACACTATTAACCTGAGGAGGAAAAGTTTTTCACCGATTTTGTTAAAGTCAACGAATTTAACGACATCATGATATTGTTGTTAGACATCTACAACTTGCAGATGGTTTATATATGACCTTGAAAGAGAAGACGACCTACAAATCTATGGTGCTTAAAATTAGTGGCCTGCAGTTTCAGCATTCATCTGAAAGTACACGTCTTAACATGAAGCATCAAGTTGCAGGTAAAGCTCGAAGTGAAAATAGGTGCTGGTCCAAGTAGAAAGACAGTTGCGGCAAAATATGCGGTGGAACTTCAAGTTGCATGACTTATTCTTGACAGCCAAGTGCACATGAGCATTGCCACCTTCCAAGTATTACTGTAGTCCGACGGCGTTGCTAGAATGAATGTTTGTAGGAGAATCTGTCATGCCCCTGAAAGCAGTATAGTGCTTTAGTTAATAAAATGCAGTTGCTCATTTCACTTGTTTTAATGTCTTATTATGACAGGCCAATGAACGAAGACAAAAATATCGTAATGGAAGACTTGTCTTGCAACCTTGTGCTTATGGAGAGTAGCGGAGGAGAGGTCATAGGCTTGAATCAAACTATGGGTGAAGTTGAAGAATTACAAGGAGAAGATCTTACCGAAATCCCTTCTTGCGTAGTCAGTACTGATATTAGTGGACAGAATGGCTGGCAATATTTGTGGACGTAGAGGTACGAATTCACGAAGCTGCAGTGAGATTAAAGTTCTCAGAATACATCATTATATTCTTGAAATATAATCCTTGCCACGTGAAGCGAAGAACTAAGTCTTTGTTGTCCATGTTTCCCACTCTTATCAATGCTTTTTCATGGCATTTTTTTCTTCATTCGTTTGATTCTACAGCAATGAACGTTCCCAAGGGGACCCATTGTTTCCTGTACTATTTAACTTTCTCCAAAGACTGATACAATAATATCATCTCCGATACTTCCAAATCTTTTTTTACCCGTATCAATACTCCAGTAGAAGAGTCCCACATATGACTAAATATGAGCAAACGGGTGTTAATTGTGTTACTGTGAAAGAAATTTCACAAAAACCTTGGACCTTGTTGGAAGTAGATCCTGTAAAATTTTACACGATCTACACGTGTCCAACAAGTACTACCCCTCGGAATACACTTTACGTAAGAAACTTGGGGAAGAAACATTTGTTTCTGTATTCGTACCTGAGACTTTCCTTTATCTTTAAGAAATCTCAACCTTTATACCTGCACCAACCATTAACAAAGTAAGGTGAAACACTCTTTCCATTTTCAATGACTGTTATGGATGAACAGGATTATAAATTCTTAGATGAAAGATGCATCATGAATGTTAACGAACAAATCTGGACCTTCACTCGTCCTACAGCCAGTAAGGATCACCAGCAATGCTTTGGGTTGATAAATCTTAACATTGTCAGGTTCTTTGATCTTTATATAACATTTTCGAGATATTTTGGGACAATCGAATTGGCTATCACATGAGGTTGAAGATTTCTATTCATATCGAAAACAAGGTTGCAAACACTGCTCAAGTTTGAGTACATCGCATGGGCAATATAGATAACGTTGTCTTAATCCAAAGAAAGCATGTTTTTGCTTCTTTCTAGTTGGCTGAAAGAACATTTCAACTTCTCTGTAAAGTAACCGAGTCAATCATGCAAATATGCAGCGAGAACTGTTTAGTACGAAAACTGTCATTTAATCTTCAAAACGTCATTGGCGTTTTGGCATTTTGCTTTATTAAGACTGTGATAGAGTATAATTAGAACTGTGATAGAGTAAACTTTCCTCACCCAGTATTCCGGACCTACCAACTACTCATATGCTACGGAGAAGAGAAGATATTTTGACTTTACTTGCTTCGACAACTTCTGTTGTTGAAAGCAAACCAAATTTAAAATACACATGATTCTCTAATAATCTAGATT